TGAGGGCTTGACTCTTTTTATTGCATGTGTATAGAAAGGTGTCAGCGGCAGCTACCGCACTCACGGCACGATCGGATAATTCAGTTCAGAGCGTTAAGATGCTATCTTTAGGAAATTACCACTCCAACATCTGTCACGTCAAGAGAGATCTTCCCCTTGAGGAGATTTAGAAAGCCGGTCGACTAAAATACCTCGATTAATATATGGGGACATGAGTATGTATACGTGATTTGAGATGTTTATAGATTACCTTTTTAATTGTTTTCTATGTTAAAATTGTCCTTGAGTAAGCCGCTAAGGCGCAAGGACAACAACTGACACATTTTTACTAAATAACTAGTTATCAAAGTCTATGACAGTAATACGCAATATATTATTGTACTGTATTTATAAAACGTTACTCATATTTATGTGCGTTAAAATCAGTCAGATTTTTTTTATGTGTTTTACATGTTTTGCGAATACTTTGCTTTGTCTATGAGCACAAAACGACCTAGTGTTTAACCCTACATTAACCTACATTATAGTTATTAACAAACATTATAGTTTAGTCTGCCGTCAGTTTTTTTTAAAAAAATGAGCCTGATCACAGAATAAGCAACAGTAACACTGTATCTTGAACTCTAGCATTTTTATTGTGGTTAGATTTGATTTTATAGATCATGCGATACCAAGGCGAATTTTAGATATATCTAAATTTCTTCAAATCCTTGCAAAATAAAACGGATTCTTCCCAAGTACGGTATCCGAATTTAAATAAATAGATTATTGTCAGTGGAAGTTATTTATACATTCGTGCACACGCTCGATCTTATCGAATTCGATTTTAATGTTGCCTTGGCCGAAGAACAAAGTAGTCGGACAATAGGCGAGGTTTTCGGCACTTCGCTATATGGGAACCTTACCTTGAGGTTATTGGCACGACACAGGTTTTCGTCCATTAATTAATGAGCCACGCCCCCTCTCTATCTTAACGGCATTTAGGACGTGCTATATTTACGCCCCAACGCGCCTCTCCGTTAATTGTGTGCTATCATTGATAAATGTATTATTTTGATGTACGCAACTTAATTTGAGCACTATCTATTAATGGCTTTTGTGAAAAAACTAACTTAAAGAGTAATTTTAAGTAACTTGGATTTTTAAATCGGGACCAGGGACAACTTTGTCTATGTTTGGGACTACAATTAAGAAAGAACTTGGTGAAATCTCTATTGGGACTATAACTAGGTGAAAGATCTTATCTACCCTGTTATGATTGAAAAGCTGGTTTTTCTGTTGTTGTTTGTATTTAAAAAGTCAGTCGAGACTCTTTTTAAAAATGTTATGCATTTTATAAAATATAAAACAACAATTTTAATTTTATAACGTGAGACAAGACCAAAGAACTGAAATCATGAGAAAAAAAACTGATGAGATAATACAATTTCACTCTATAATATAATTTGGGGAAAACATTAAGTGAATACGTGTTAAAAATTTTGTAGCTATCTGTTAAAACGCCTGCTAACCTGTCAAGTGTGTGAACGGTATAAGTCAGAAGTGACGTACATCCTCGCTTCGTCGAAATACTATATCGATATTCTTTTCTCAGTAAAATAAAACTTTGAAAACATCTAGAAAACATCTTTGATGACTCCGTGGCGCAGTGGCAAGGGCTTGGCGTCGGAGGTCGTGGGTTCGATTCCCACACGGGACAACTATTTGTGTGACCTACAGATAGTTGATTCGCATCTGGGTGTTTGTGAAATTTATGTTTGTTAAACGTCCTTACAACACAGGATAAAGTTATCTTAAAGAAAGGACAATGTTTTAAAAAAATCTAGAGAAAAGAATATATAATACAAACAAATAAATGTATAATTAATTTATTCGTACGCTTTAAAAATTTAAGCAATTGCTTTGTGAACGGATTTTGTCCACAATTTGCCATAGTAGTTTGTGTCATTTCAAGTATACTTGTTACTCAATAATTTGGATAATCCTAATCCCGCCGACAGGGCATCGTTCCGAAATAGGAAATAACGTAACATAAGCTTCGAGTTACCTCGAATTCGCGTATCGATAAGATGGCATTAAAATATCGATAAAGAAAAGCGTGCTCACACCTAGCGGCGGGTCTCTGAGGTCCGCCGCCCTGTAATTTGCCGGCGGAGAGTGCTGGCCATTACAGCTGATACCGAGATCATAATAAATACGCCATTAACGCCCCCACAGCACCCGAAACGACATAACCACCCGATACAGCCTTCACCTTGTATCGCTCCTCGATCGATACGTTCAGAAACGCATATTTATGTTATTAGGAGTTTAGCTTCGAACGATTTTTGCATGTTGAATTTGGAACGTATTTTTTTTTTCTTACACTTCGCGGTTATTTATTGGCAAAATTTTTGTTCCCTTTATTTTACGATGTTTTTGTCCTTTTTTTCTTTTAACAATATTGTAAACTTCTTGAGCGGAATCGTATTCAAAAATTATGTACTAATCGTTTTTAATCTTACCTAGATTAAAAACGATTAGTACCTAAGTTAAGTTATTTAATTCTGAATATTTCAGTTTGTTTATTCTATTATAAATACTTAATATAATTTTTATGACAACTATACATCTTATCCTTTAAACGAGCAATTCTTGTATGTATATATATATATATATAATCGGAATCTCGGACACGGCTCCAGCGATTTTCATGAAATTTAGTATGTGCGTAGATTCGGGGGCGAAAATTCTATCTAGCTAGGTTTCATTTTTAAAAAATGTCCTTTCCTGTCCTCCCTGTTTTCAGGGAATGAAAAATATCATTCGAATATGACGGTAAATTTCGCCGAAGAAAAAGGTTATAATAGCTCGGTCGGTAATCGGGCGGCCCCGAAACAGAAGGCCGTGGTTCGTGTCACGATCATTTACATATATTTATTTTTTTACTTTCTTTTCGATTCCAGATCATTGCTTTCTTTTTTTTTATTTCTTGTGGATTGTTATTTTGTTATTTTTTCCCTTTTTTTTAAGTTCGTTAGCTCTTTGTGTTTGTGAAAAACACCAGTTCATATTTTCTTATTATTACGTCGGTAAGATCGAAAAATATGCATATTATTATTACTGAGTAATTTGTATCTAAATGTAATTTCCAAAAAAAAACAAGCCGAGCAAAACTCGGAAAAAATACAATATAGACTTTTTCATCTAATAACATAATAACGAAACCAAAACGGCCGTGTGAAGTTGTTTTGACGTCGATGAGACGCGTGAGACGATCCACGATTACGTTGATATTGCGGCGGCGCACGCGTTTTTGTGGAAATTAGGCGCGCGGCAAAAAATCTACGCGGCCCGCTAGCGTGTGTGGGCACTACCTGTGTTCGTCCCGCCGAGCCTGAGCGCGCCGGCGCCCGCGGCTAACCGGCCCGGTGATAGATTAAATCCGTCACGGCATCTCGTGATGTCATGCCAATTCCCGACCACGGCCGGCTCACCGTCTTCACGCTCATTTGCCTCCGTCCGTTCGCCGCTCGTATTTCACGACGCCGTTAATAACCGGCGGACGGTACTCGGGGCATTGGAGCCGCGCGATCGGCCGTCCCTAACGCGCGGAATCTATCGGGCGGGCGTGAGAGATGCATTATTGCACGCGTTCGCGGCGCGATCATTTCGCGGAGAGGCGAAAATAGCGCGTTAGCGGGAAGCGTGCTCGGCGGCGGTCGCGACAACCTCCGGGAACCGATAAAGGCCATCGCGCACTGCGCCGCCATAAAGAGCCGAGACGCGCCCGCTGCCCGCCTCGTTAACAGCGCACTGCGCACTCGTAAATCCGATTCGACGAAACAATCGCCGACGGAGCGACTCGTGAATTTAGAGCCGCCGCGAAGGGGATCGACGCTACGTTACGCGGCGTTTCGATCGGGCCGATATCGGCTTAGTGTGCCGCTAGCTTAAGATATCCGTAATGCCACCTAACCGTAATGGTATAATAACGTTTTACGAGATCCGAAAACGCCACGCGGCCGCCGGTGGTCGCGCGCCGTTCCCCGAACCCGGTTTTATGGACTACGGGCCGCTGAAAGCTAACGAACAGTCGAGCCCGCAAGACGCTCCCTTCGCGGAATCCCGACTTGTTCGCACAGCCGACGACACTGTCTGGCCGGCCTCACCGAAATAGGTGTTATTGCCATCGGTCCGCTTCCCGTTCCTCGTATGTGTGCCATTCGCTGAACACCGGTGCCGGGTGCATATCGTTACAGATTACACATTATAGGTGTTGCCAACCGCGGCGGAATACTGCAGTCCGGCTGTAAGAGACTGCTACAGCTAGCGTGTCGTACTACTAACGTGTAATTTAATTTCCTTCGCCTCGATACTAATTGCGGAGCGCTGAGGCCATTAGCTGAGGCTTTTGCTAGTTTGTGCGTGAACTAGTCCAAGTTATTTTTAAGTGTTATTCTAGTAAGTTGTACTTAGCCCCGTAAGCTTGTTTGAAATTACATTGGCTCTCTAATACTTTCCGTATGTATTTCAATAGACTTACTATGATTTCCTGAAAAATATATGCTTTAACTTTAACAGGCGAAAAATAAATACCACATGATTTTTTTTTATGTGAGGAGGTGGCAAACGAGCTGGCGGTTCACATGATGTTAAGTGATAACCGCCTGCCCATGGCCATTTGCAACACCCGTAGGGTTGCAGATGCATTGCCACCTCTTAATAATGTGGGCCCCAGCTACCTCACTCACCAGACGAAACTCAGAAGAGCAACACTTCTTCGCCGGTCTTCTGTGAGGTCGTGATACTAACCCGGACGGACCTGCCCATTCGTGCAACACCTAACACTGTTGCGTGGCCCTACCACCTTGAAATATTTAAATAAATTATTTAAAACACATCATTATTTAAATATTAAGATATTTGAATCTAATGTTAATGAATTCCAATCCTAGAGATCATCGTGATTCCCGTTCAAATCTCACATAGCCTGACATAAACTTTTTGCGCCTTCTCAGAGATCCGATGGAGTTGATGCTGATGGAGCAGCAGCTGTTGCGGTCGCCGCTGCGCCTCTACTCGAGCGGTGGCAGCGTGGCAGGGACCGACGAGGAGGCCGAGAAGAGGGCCGCGTGGGCGCGGACGCCGCCGGCGTTGCAGTTGCTGGCACTGGGGGGCAGGGCTTGGCCCGCCGCTTGGCCGCAGCCGCTCGCCCTGCCACCAGACCTGTGGCTCCAGAAGCCGCCGGCGCCCCTGCGATACTGCCCCTACCCGCCCCCCGCGCACCCCGCCGCCCAACCCCGCCCCGAGCACTCGCCCTCACCGCGGCATCCGCTGTAAATATTCTCCCTAACGAACTAATCCGCAAAAGACATTGAAAGTGCTGTGACGAACATATCGGTTTTGGAAGTAATATATCCAAGCCCCTTTGTTTAGAAACTTAAACCCCCTTCAAGTGTACTGAATCACACGAGTATTATGAAATATTTAACGTAGCTTAACGTATAGTAGTGTCCTAATAGTTTATCGTCAGTAATCGATTAATTGAGAATAGTTGTCTATAGATGTATACTAAGGCGTAATTTGAATGTTCCTACCCAAGAAAATAATTATTATAATTGTATAGTTAGACCAATTTAAACAATAGTTACCTGCAAGTAATAATTGATTTTGAAAATAACGTTTTCCTGTTATCCGTGAAACATATTTTCTTTTCTGTCTAATTCAACTAGCATCCTTAGTAACACTTAACGAATGAAGATAGTTATTAACCAAAGAGTAATACATACTTTACTAACAACTATATAAATGGCTGACATGGTGGATGTGAGGAATTATATTTTTACATTATCTGTCACATTTTCAAGAAAATAGAGTACTTTAATGGAAAAGAATTTCTCTGTGACGCTCGTGAATTAACACTTATATCGTGATGTACATACCAATTACCCGACATACTTATATGTAACATATATAGACTGTACACATAAATGCGATGCCCACGTCGCGTTCCTATACTATGTACCACTACGACATACAATTTGAACTTTTGATTTTTTTTTTATAATTATGATACAATTTCCAAAACCAATCATCGAAATATATTTCAATGATGCATTTCATTCAATTAGTCCCTGGTTTCTTTTATCATGTAAATTATGTTTGTAACTTCTTCCCATAATTTAAATCAATATTTACAAGCATACGTTTATTATGCTTCGTCATAAAAAGACCGGAAAGAATAATGACATAAATAATGTTTTAGTGATGTGTTCGACAGGCTTATTAAAATATTAAATAACTTTTATTTATAAATATTAAATGGAATAACAAAATGCTATATAGCGACTGACGCTGCTTATTACGCAAAACAACAAATTAAAACTATGTGTGTTATCTATAATTATCAACGTTTATTATGGCATATATATTATACACCTTTGATTAAATACTTGTCACACTTGTGAACAAGTAAATAATCAAAGTTGTACCTTGAAGTAGGGAACAATTTTTTTCAAATACAAGATGATAATTTAGTTCTTACAAGCGATCCAAGTGATATACTTAAATATACTATATTAATGTTACGATGTGTCAGTGTGTAAATTATATAGTTTAAGTTAATTTATATTCCATTTGTGTATAGAGTAAGGATATGTATGTATTGTATAGTAGTTCACTAAATTATTTTTGTAGTATAAGCACTGTATATAAGCAATTAGTTGTTTGTATTAGATAAGATATTTTGAGAGGTATTGTTTAAGTAGACGTATGGGTTGCGCTCACTGCTCATTGTTTTAAAAGATTAAAAATTTAAAATAAAATATGTAATTAATAACGCTCCAATAACAAATTCCAGGTCATTAAGTTGAATCGAACGTTTTTTATTGCAACCCCAGGATTGTAACCTTCATGTTCATATGTTTATATATTGATTAAAAATGTCGTTTATCGCTGTTTATCACCTTTAAATTGTCTTTGATGTATATAATTTAAGATAATCACTAAAATAACACGTTTCTGTTATTTTTAAAGCATATTAAGACTATCTAGAAATTTGGTAAATTAAAATATCCACATTACTATTTTTTAAATTAATTTTTGGTGTCAGCCCTAATATTAGTATTGTAATGATATTGTGAATTTTTTCTAATATATTTTCTTATATAATACTTAATTATTCTCAATTGTTTAAAAAATATGAAAACTATGCAATAAAATAATTCTAAACATTGAGCAGTGGGCGAAAGTAGTGACACATATCAGGGTCTTGCCCTAAGTGTTAATATACAAAATGAAATTACATTGTTGTTTTATTTAGTACTAGCTGCCCGGACAGACTTCGTTCATTTTTTTAATAATATTAAACACGTTTGTGTGTTAAGGTCCACCTTCCGTGGACCTTAATTCCGTGGACCATAAACATACAAAAAATAAATTAGCCGAAATGGTGCAGCCATTCTTGAGTAATGCGCTTACCAACATTCATTTTTATTTATTAAAAGACGATGGGCCAGCGGGTTTCCTTGCTTTATCAGAAAGGGGGCGCTGAATCCTAATACACTTACGAAGCTTTATCTCGACAAAATAATAAGATCTTATAAACCTCACCGAACTCAGGCCATGTGAAGTAAAGTAACAGCCTATTATATCCCAACAGATGGGCAAAGGCATATTTTGTTCAGAGGGTATTTGGACATAGTCTACGCGGCCCCACTGCGGTTTGGCGGACTCATATAGCATCAATTGTTTTTTCTTATTATTTCGAAAATACGCAGGTTTCTTCACGATGTTTTCCTTCACCGCTGAACCGTGATAAGTCAGCACTTAAAATTATCAATTTCATTGGTGCCGACACCGGGATTCTAACTCAAGTTGCTCGAGTATATTGATTTAAAAGCGAATGTCCGCGACATTGAGCTATTACGGCTTTGATTTGAACATGCCTAACAAAAATTCACTAAATTGGCAGGTTCTATTCTTACGTGCCATGCAATTGGTATCATAATTGATATGTATAATTATATATGATGATAAACTAATTTTGAACTAGTTATACGAAGCTTTTCAATGAAAAAATGGTTTCCGGTAGAGAAATTAACTTCATCAAAAATCATTTAGGAAATGTTTATAAATGCAAACAGCAATATTTTCTTTTTTTGTTGTTTTTTCAATATAGTAATTGAAGACCGTTTCTTTGTAATATTAACGCACAAAATTCAAATTAAGACTCGCTGGCGCGTTACTAAACTGTTGGCTTCGGCGTCGGGGTTCGTGGGTTCGATTCCTGCTTGAGACAAGTATTTGCGTATCCCAGAGATAGCTCAGCAACTAGGCGTTGGTTCTCAAGCAGGGTTGACGTCAGGCAGGCGGCTAGTCGTAGAAAAAAACTAGCCTAACCATTTGCATCATGATTCACAATACCTGTTGTGAATTCACGCAGTCACATTCATTCACCCCCTAAGGTGATGATGGTGAATCAAATTAAGAGCGATTTTCTTGATACACGATTTTCTGAAAAGAGCATTAAAACCGAGGAATCATTGAAAACACGGCGGTAAATCCTTATAACAATATCGCTTTTATTGGTCAACTTTACTGATGAAGAAGAGAACTTTAAAAGAACTTTATTGGTCACCTCATAGAAGTTCGGTGTAAGTGTTCATATTTCCGGGTTGCCTGTCTGTTTTGTTAAGTTATGCAACGTCGTACCCAGCTCACAGAAAAAGTTGTTGCGCACCTGCAATCCACAACACCATTTCATGACTTCATGACTATAGATAATAATTTATCATCATGTGAACCGAATGCCAGTAGCCTCCTTTAAAGAAATAATTCGATTATCTCGATCGATAATACGTTTTTATTGATTGTAATTTATGATTTGCACGTTGAAAATATATAAAAAAAACGAATGGGTATTGTCTAATTTATTAGATACATATCAAATAATTTTTATATTTATATCAACCGTAAAACATCGTCGCTACACGTTTTGTTTAAACTGTAATAGAGGTAACTGGAATAGAAAAAATTCAAACGATAAAAGTTTCAAGGACCTCACAATGCGTCGGATAATCAGTTCTAATTAGTCCCGATATCCAAAAACCTTGCCTAACCTAACCTACCGCGACAAAACGTAACTCCAATTGTGAAATTATAACGAAGCCGAATTGCGTATTCACGTGCACACATAATTTGATACTGGGCGCTTAAGCGGCGTTGGGGCATTAAAACGTACGAGACAATAAATAATCGTCACACTCCGTCGTCCCGTCTTTATTACGTGTCATTAGGCATTATTAAGTGCGTGTATCGATGACGATCTGCCTTCCGTCCGGTAATTGGCGCACAAATTGAAAGCATCCGACGCCCGAGGCGGCCATTGATGGATCTGCTGCCAAGCTCAAATTACACCCAGACCCTTGTGACAGCTTCGCGAGTGCGCGGATAAAGCTAGCCGCGAGAAGGATATTAAAAAAAAAGTACTATGACATTTTTATGGCGAATTCGCGACGTCACCTGCGTCACGCTTCATAGCGATGCGTGGGCGGAAATCGATATGTGGTAAATGCTAACCGAAAGGTTAGAAATATTGTTCTTCACCACACACTGACCGTGTTTTTTTAAATGACGTCCGTAGACGTGATGTTCTGTTGCCAACTTCGAATCGTTCTGAGGCTGCTCATTAAAATTCAGATGCAAGGCGCATCTTAAATTTAATGGGCAGCTTTCTTCATTACAATTCATGCATGATTAAGTATATTGATTGTCATGTGACGTTCAAAGACTTTAAAGTTATAATCATCTAGCAAGTTAACCTTTTAATATATAAATAATATCGAATAGAATTTTAATTTAATTTAAATCATTGTTTAACGACACGTTACAATCTTACTACGATATGTGTCGTACTAAGATATGTCTCTTTAACTAACAAGAATTATATTTACTTCCTTTTCGTCTTTATGTATTCCGTCTGCAATTAGTCTGAAATCCAAGTGTACTTTCATGTACATATGCAATTATTTTTGGTTGCGAAATTTTAACATAATGGGTACCCAAACCATATATCATATACAACACTGCAGAGCTCTCTGTAATGGGTATTAAGGAATAGTTTATTATGCGATAATTTTCGTAGCGAAATACTTGATCATGTAGTATCTAATTATACACTTCAAAGGTTTTATTTTATTATAAAGGCAACATTTTGAAAAGCAATTCTAAATATTAACAGCGTAATCAAAAACCCTTTCCTCCTAATGCGCGAGAGGGTGGGGGTAATTGCCGGTTTTAAAACAACAGTCATTAGGCAGCATCGGCCTGGCGGTTTCATCGGCCTTTGTGCGCGCTGAGAGCGCATTAAAAGGAGCGAACGAGCGAACGCGCGCTCTCGACGCGCATAAATTAGCGCGGTCGCGTCCCGGACGGGCCTCGACTGATTGACTCCTTTCATTACTGCCCCGCATTGTTCGCGTCCGGAGAAAAATCGCGTATCCCCTCGGAATCGCAACACATTTCATAATTATGGACTATTGTGCAGTTGTCGGGGCTAACACGTCGGGGACGCGCGCTCTCCTCGCCCGAGGTGCTCGAGATATATTGGCGAACGTAAAGACGCGCAGACTGATCCCATAATGGCCGCCGCTGATTGGTTTTCAAACGAACACTAGTTCGAAGAAAGCCGTTTCAAAGGGTCGGCGTTTAATGCGCTGTCACTTTGGAATAGTACTGCTAAATAATAGGACGCGACTCTACAAGCGTCGAACACACAACTGCCATTACTCCGATTAAGCGACAGGGACATAATTCACGAGATGAAGAACGTACAATTGAGTTATAAGGGTTAAGATTGGCATTAATTGCGTTCATTAATCGTATGTTGCGGCGGCATTGTTCCTGTGGCGGAGTAGATTATCAGCGGCGCAGAAGAACCCACGTGCTATCTCCCCGACCGGTCATGCCCCGGGCGAAGGCGATGCGCCCTCGGTGCTGTGGGAATCGCGTTCGTGGGCCGAGCGAAATCCACCACCGAGTCGAATGCAAGCGCGGTCGGCCGCGAAAATCGAGATGCCTATATTCGTGTACCGTTCGCTCTCGCCGGCCGGTCTAGATGTCCACGTCACTGGATCGAATTAGCCCGGACGGGCGGGCCGTCCGTGGCAAACGTTTTTCTAAGCCGATGTTGCAATTGTAACGGTGCCCGTGTGTCGGCCGCGTCCGGCGTCAGCTGCCAGCCCGGCCCGACGGATAGACAAGTAAATAGAGCCGGCCTAATCGTCGCGTCCAGCGAGGGAAACGACGAATTACTCCGTCACACCGCTCCCAACAATTGCTTTGTTATCGGCGATAGACGTCCGAGAGAGACGACGTGAAATCTCCAGCTTAAAGTTTCGCTCCAAATGCCGGCGGTTTGCACCTGCTGCATTCACTTATCCCCATAAAGTGTGATTGTCAGAAATAGATTAGAATGTTTCTACACTGTCTTTTTATAAAATCAGACCACTCAAACGTGGTCGCGGCCTAAGGTTTTTCTCTTATGATTTTATATCAAAAAGGCCCAGATTTCGAGCCATATAATTCATGCTTCACTATAATACATCCACTCGCGATAGAGATAATATTTACTGTTGAACTTTTAAACCACAGTAAAATTAAGAACATTTTACCGTTTCCGTATTAAACTTGCCTGTACGAGTACGTGTGTACCTACAACCACAATCTTACAATCTTTAAATACTACCGCGCACATAACTCGTCCGTGAACTTCAAAAATCCTTAACGAACTTCCTCAAAAAACATCCAAGTCCATCGAATGACCAAGTTCTTCCGGGTCAACGCTTTACTTAGAACGCAAATTCCGAGCGGCGTTCCGCGTGGACGGCGCGCGAATAATCGCGTGCGGCCGGGGCGTTTGATTGACGCGGTAGTTGGTGCAAAGTGGCGTATTCGTGGCCGGTGTCGTGACTGAGCCGGCGCGGAGAGGTGCCGTCGTCGTCCCGTGGTCGCCGCCGGACAAGCTAACGCCGGAGGTCCGTGTCGCACGCCCCTCGCCGCGGCCGTCGGCGCTTCTTTACGAACGCGTCACTCGTGCGTTCACGTGACCTCTCGTCGCGTAGGTCGTGACGTGACCTTGAAGTTGGACCACACGTTAACGCCCGCTTTCTGAAACACTGATCATCGTAGATGTCAACTAATCAGCTGTCAAATGGCGTTTCAAATATCATTTTCATTTACAATAGGATGGTTAAACTTTCTGAATTTACCTTAACGATCAAAATGATCAATTTAAAGAGTTTAACCATCCTTTTAGCAAATGAAATGATATTTGAGAAGCTATTTGACAACTGATTAGTTAACATCTACGATGATCAGTGTTTCAGAAACCGGGCATGAGTTGTTCGGAATGATATCCTGCATCGGTTCAGCTCAATGATATTGTATATCATTGCTCGGGTACAAATACACTGGTATACGAGGTGCACTATCGCGCTGAAATTGAGACACTCAAATTACGGCAATTCTTGTCGGTGATTAGTCTGCTATCTTTTTTCTAAATAATTACGATCTACTAATACACACATAAACACTTACATGTACACTTTTTAATAAATGAACAAAATCATATCGCCACGCTACTCGGAGCTTAACAGCTGACCCGCTCTGTACACACAATCGCAGAAACGCCAAGCGCGCGTTGTCACGAGCCATTAAGCAAACCATTGAACTGGGTTTCTGGATCGTACGCGAACTTAACACAACAAATATTGCTTAATAAGAACAAGTAGGTTTTTGAAATTTACATTTTTATAGTTCTAATTTCTGCACTTAAGATGAAACATTACAATTTGTAGAAAAAACGGGCAAAAAGTCTTTCGGGTTCGCGCCCAGATCCTTTTAACACTGAGCAAACTGCTGATTGCCATACCGACGAAAGTCTGAACGTATTTTATCTCCATTTTTTTGCACATGCACCAAGTATTGCTTATACTTGGCGCAAATGCAAAAAAATCTTAATCTAAAGTGTAGAGATTAGCATTATAACAATGACCTCTTTTTTTGAAGTCGGCTGAAAAACTACAGACTTACGCGACGCTTAATCGCCGCGATAAAGTTACAATAAAATATTTGTTATCAATGCCGTAATGATAGAATACGTATACAGTAATTTATTTGTGTCATGTTATCGCATTCTAATTGCATTGACCGCTATTGTAGCCGCTACGTCCCAATGGGCGCAATATGTCCATATAACTTATGTCATTCCTCAAAATCTATCAATCGAATGAAACATAGCGCAAAAGACAAAAGCACTCGTATAATGAATAAAAGATTTTATCGGCATGTTAAGAAATCTCTTTAAGTTACTATTACTCATATTGGAATGTAAAACTCGATAATCTTTCAGCAATACTTTTAACTTTAATATTTTATTTCTCTTCTTAGCTTTCGAACGTGCCATATACCCGAAAAGTTCAGAAACACAGACATCTTAAGATAATTCAATCTAGCAAAACGGCTCTTTTAATGTGATCACCTTACGTACGTAGAAAACGAAACGATTTAATTTGTCTTAAAATACGAGAAAGGACTACTCTTTAGGCAACAATCTTTCCGAGATAGTAATCCAATCTTACGTACGGAGCATTCCTGAGCTAGCAGAGTTTATGCGCCCGCGCTGGCCGCGGCGCTACGAAGACGCTGGTATCGCAGGGTGATCCCTCAAACGCGCCCTCAGACCCCGCCCCCTTGTTTATTGCTTATTAGCGGGCATCGCGGCGGCACGTTTGAACTGCGGCCCTTTGTTCTCGCCGCGTAGCCACCCCCCCTCTTCCGCACCGGCTTACCCCTCCGGCCGGTCACGACGCGAACCGCCCGCATGCTACGCGAATCATAAATCCATTCTATTTGACGTCCGGCCGTATGTTTGATATCGATCTCGGCTCAGTGATATCGGGAAAGAAGAGCAACGAGCATCGCGATTCGCGGTATGAACCCTAGCAATGATCTCGGTGCATTATCCCGAATGACGCCGCTTATTGGCAGTTATGAAAATAATAGAGTTTGCATTTCTCGGTCCTCGTTAATGATTAATGATGATGAAGTAATTGTAAAATTTACTTTGAGACAAATTTGGTCTCCACGGGCTTTCTTGTCAAAAAAGTGCTGGCCTTTTTTCCCGCCACGGTTCCCTGAACGACATCATCCGTAGGGCTCTACGGTTTCATGTATTTATTTTACAGCCCTGTGGCATTTTTCGGGACGACGGTAAGAGACCCGACGGTTCGACTTTGATACCTTGGGATCTCTCCAAATCGAATGTACTCTAAGTATCCAGTTATGTAAGCACACACATTTAAAGTGAAAGTTCTAAACTTTCCTATGCCGAAGTAGCAACGTGCAAATTGTGATTAAGGATATTATTACATGAATATTTTACGCTATGCACGGAAGCAAGGAAGGCAGGTAGAGCGACGCTAGAAATTTTCCTTATACCAATACCGCCAAAACAAATTGGTAACGCAGCACCGGCTTAAGGGTAGAGCAAGTGAAGCGATCGCACTAAGTGCCAAGGGGTGCTAAAGATCAGATTTAAAATCCAATTTTCACATAAAATAAAACTTAGAGTGTAAGAGAAAAGAGTGTAATAATTAGAGCTATTTGTTTTTATTTGAATTTAGATCAGCATAGCAAATACGATATTATCTTTTTATTCAATTAGTTATTGCAATACCTATATAGATAACAGATTTCATTATTGAGTAGAAGTATCGGTAGGCAGCGGTAGAAACGGCGAAATATTGATCGAACGATGCTTTTGGCTGAGGTTTTCTAGTCTCATCTATAAAAAATAATAATTTCAATGTCGATATCGCCATTGAAGTATTAAAATACAAGTAAAACTTCTAACACAACCTTCATTTAAGCTCTACTTACAAATACTCATCAGTAAGCTATTGTTTTAAATATGACTCATGTATTAAATAAAATAATGAAGATGTGAAGAACTGTCGTAAAGATTATGTCAGATGCTTTGATTAGACCTTAGTTTACTTGTAAAGCCAAGAGTTGATGTTTTGATTAGTACAAAGTTAATTACAACAATTTGAAATGTCAACTACTATTACGTAACCAATTTAAAAAGGTAACTAAAACTGAACAATGTCAACCTTTGTCTAAATCATGTGTCAATGCTTTTCAATGCCAACTTCAAAACTTGATATCGGTCACAAGAATTAGATAAGAGAATATAAGCATTATTTATGATATTAACATTTCTAACAATGCCGACGATCTTCTGGGAATCAGATCGTTATCGGACTTTATTCAATAGTCGATGCATTAGGCACCTACATAGCTGTCGGGCGTGGGTGAAACATTCTTCAGATGGTTTCTTAACAAGAGAATGACATGAGGTCGGATCGCTGCCGTCCCAACTGCTACAACAACGGGGCCTATCATCGTAGAAAAAGGCCGCATCACGCAAATTACGGGCGAGATACGCATCGCGATAGCGCTCACACGAGAATCTACTAGCGGGTAAAAAAAAAGTCGGCGAACAATATTACGCCGCTATAAGTTGGTACAGAGAAAGATGAGGTTCGCAACGGTGGCCGTGCTTAGTCGATATTTGTCTCGCGCACACGAAGCGGAAGTTTGGACTTTATTTGGGGGTGGTTACGGCGTGAATCGTGGGTGGTGCTGACGCGGTATGTGATGTTTGGGGTTGCGTTGGCGCAAGCGATGCGGCAGATTGTGGCTGGGCGCGGCGCTTGCTAATGGGTGTGATAAGATCGCGCGACCACGCCTCGGTCCAAGCACAATACGACTCTAGTCTCGGAGATTGTGGCGCAACGCCACAGTGTACCGGATACTCTATGCGATGGTGTAAAACCCTCAAACTAACAATCTCCATGACTACCGGAGTTTTCAGATGATATATGTATATTAACGCAGTACCTTCAGGTCATAAATCGAAAAATCGTTTATCATTCTCACTTGTAGTGTTTAGCTTTTAACGTTGATGTAGGATTCTACTGTAACTTGGCCGTGTGAATGCATTTGTAGCATTGGAAATAAGTTACGTAAGTGATTAGTCTGTTCCTCCTTCGATGGACATGAAGCGTAGTAATCATATTACCTATAATGAAGTATTTGTTCTCTATTAAAATAATTAGTCATAATTTGTCACTTGTTTTGTTAAGCATAAACGTAAAGGTGTAAGTAATACTATAATCCAGTATCAAACGGCCACTCTGCATACCTTATTTGATGTTCTCATATTAAGCAGCTTAAGAAGCAGTGGTTTTGTGCTTCAACTCACACCAATTTCTTATATTCAATGTGAGTATCTTTTTTGGAAAACAAAATGAGAAAGACTGCAATATTATTGTAACGTCTTTGAATACATAAACTGTATCTATTCAACTTTTTACTCGTATTGACAGGATATAGCGAAATTAACACATAATTTATGACAGAAATTGTTTACGCGTCTGTAGCAATGGGGCCAATAATTGTTACGTTTGAGTATCGCTTGTTTATAACCAACATTGTCATAATTATACTTCATATAGCTTCCATCGTTAAGGTAGATGAGAAAAAAATATGAAAACAATTAAGAAAACAGTTCCAAGCGTTAGTGACCGTTACAATTTCGTGTTAACTACAATTACAGTTCGTAGCGCAACATTTCTGTGGCTTTCTATTCTAAAGGCTAAATTATTATTCTCCATCACAAGGACCGTCTATAAACATATCTATTTACTTTAGTACTATGTAAGCCACGCATCGGTGTCTACTGTTGCATTAATAGACATTTTTGCCTGGAATAGAACCAGGGCCTGACAATTAAAAAGCACAGAAATATTAAAGATTGCGTTCCTGTGGTGGTTCCCTTACAGGTTATCCCAGTAGATTTTAGAGGATGGCAAATTTGGCCCAAAAATTTATGTCTTACAGAAATAAAGAAAAACCATCATTCATTAATTAATCACTATATAAATAGGGAAGACGAGTCTTGAAAATTTAACGTAATGTAACTTGATTCATTTTATTGTCATCAACCGGATTGTTAACATAAAGTTTTATAGAGAAGTATCTCTACTATATCTAGACCCTATTTTTTAATTGTAAGGGCAATTAAAAAAAAAAACATAAATTGGTATAAGTATTTTTAAGGCATATTTTTATGGCTCACTCTGTCTTATAATTAGAACATGATTAAGCTTTTTTGGTTCAGAAATTTACCCCAAAAATATTTGTCGTGTAATCTTCAATAATTGAACAGCCTGTTGGCTGCAAAATTTGTAAGCCCGCCACTGGGTAAGTTGCAAATTGGTAAAAATTTGAAGAGACCTTCATTTTAAGTGAGTTTAAGTACCTACGTTTGCTCTTTCGCGGACAACACTGCACTCTATTCTGCTCTCTATTACATAATTCTTTAAACATGTTAGCTAAATGATTGTTCACGATTGTGGTGACAGGTTTCAGAAATGCAGAATAGACGTTAACCCCGAAAAGACCGTAGCGATACATTTCATTCAGGCTTATAATCCAACCAAATCAAACATGTCACTGACCCGAGCTTACCAGAACAGGAAGCTAGGGCAAATTACTTCGTGTGGCCAATCGAGCACCTGGGGGATCAAGGTCAAATACCCTGGGGTCAATTCTTGTATATATACAATCGGAATCTCGGAAACGGCTCCAGCGATTTTCATGAAATTTATTATGTGCGTAGATTCGGGGGCGAAAAATCAATCCGGCTAGATTTAATTTCTAGAAAATGTCGTTTTATCCCAGTTTTCAGGGAATGAAAAATATCATTCGAATGCGACGGTAGATTTCACCGAAAAAAAAAATGTTATAATAGCTCGGTCGGTAATCGGACAGCCCCGAAACAGAAGGTCGTAGTTCGTCACGATCATTTACATACTTATTTTTTTTTACTTTTTTTTCGATTCCAGATGATTTTGTTATTTTTTTCCCTTTTTTTTAAAGTTCTTTCTTTTGTGAAAACACCAGTTCATATTTTCTTACTATTACGTCGGTAAGATTGAAAAATATTATGCATATTTCATTACTCAGTAATTTGTATCTAAATGTAATTTCCAAAGTACATGATTTACCAAAAAAAAAAGGTAATGGCCTTTACTGGTCCTCCAGGTACTGGCATTTATTAGTGATCTCAAATTGAAACGTTACGAACAGAGCTGCGACCGTATTGAGCCGACTCCTAACTTTCAAGAAGTCTGCAAGAAAAATGAACAAAGAAAAAAACAAGGACTAAACTTCTATTATTCAAGGATGTACACAACGAGCCATAAATGTCCGCTTGAATTTTCCTCAAAACACCTGAAGAAACTTCAGTTTATGCAAAATAAATTATGAAACGAATTGATCAGACTTGGCGTCACATTTGAAATTCTTGTCATAATATTTCAACTCGCATACCAGTCGAAGTTATGAACAATGTAATATGTATAGGATCTAAGTTTTTCGAGCTAGAAAAACTTTGTCACACAATATTTTTCCAGGAATGGGGGTACAATCCCCATGCCTTTAAAAATATTGTGTGACTTCCTCTGACGCAAGAGATATGTTCTATGTATTATGCTTACTGACACTACGCCAATGATGTCGTTAACATCTTTGCATCAAATTTTCAATAATTATTATGATTCGCTATTTATTATACCACATACACCAAAATTATTTCGACCACTTGTCGAACACAAGAGTTCAGAAAAATGCCTAGTACCTGGATCAACAAGTTTTCTTTCACGTGAAAATTTGCCAAGCGAGCTGGCGGTGAACCTGATGTTAAATGAATACCGCCGCCCATGGATGGATATCTACAACACCCGAGGGCTTGCTGA